AGTTTAGGCGTGAAGAAAAGACAGACAGACTTCGCATTTATAATATTAGTTACTTATTATTTATAATCTTAGTTTGGATTTAATAAATTGAGGTTGAATTTATAAAATACATAACATTCTGACTTCAGATTTAACCACTTTTTTGTGTAACAAATTGAATGTATTAATAGCATTAGTTGAACACTATTCCATTATACAACTTCCATATAAGGTATTCAAAAGTAAACAGGAACTGTTTCCCCTTCCTAAATAATTATGAAATTGGTCGTTATTGTTGTGGTATTATGATGATTGGGGTGCACAGCAGGAAAATCAATACCACCTCGTTATTTGATTGGTATGTTAACCCGCTACTACTGAACTGTATTAAAGCCATTATCGATTGCGATGCGCCCTGATTATGACCAAGTCTGATGGGCAAACTGTGCCGTTAATTAGATTTTCAATAAAGTCAACGCCTAGGTTAATTCGCAGGCGTTCTTCTCACAAAAAGAAATCATTTCTATATTTTATGTGAACGAGGAGGTTTTTCTATAGCCTGCTTTCTTTTCGGGGCTGTCTGTTATCTTTCCTCGCAGTTATTCAATTCACGTGGGAAACAGCTTTCAAAGTAAATGACAGTACTCCATTATTTCTAAATTCTTTGACAGACATACTTCCATTTCGGTCCCAATCTTGTCTTGTTCTTATAAAAACACCGATCCTCATTCAAGTTGCTGCCTTATCAGAATGTTGATATTTTTGTATCAAAGATGATTTTGATCCGTGCTCAATATTTTTATCTTTTACGCTTCACTAGATCTCGCACTTCTATGGATTCGGTTTGTCTACTTTTGTTTTATTTGACATAGAAACATGGCGTAGTGACTTATGACACACGCATTAAACACGTTTTAATATATAATGGAAAAGCATTTGTTGTTTATTCAATTTTATCAGAGCCCTACGTGCTGTACTACACTTATGGAATGACAGACGTGATAAATTATCGTAAAATGTCAGCTATTACAAGCCTCCTACCAAACGGTATGCATTAGACTTTACAAATTAATTAGATTAATTAGTGCAACGTTTTTCTACCTGTAGTTGCGCAGGTAATGCGGTCAAATACATACGGGCTTTATGAGTCAGCGGAAAGCAATTTGAACCGGCGAATGCACCGGATCTGGAGTTCGTAATAAAGGTATGTTTGGTCGCAACCTGCGCTTTCATTGACTGAAATTCATGAGTGCGGCTCGTGAGGGGCTCGAGTCGTCGGTCGGCGGCTGGCGTCGCGGCGCGTTTTATTCGCCACAGCTATGCCTGCCGGGTTTATTGACCCGACGACCGTGACCCCCCTTCCCCTCTCCTAGCCATCTTCCCCGCGGGTTGAATCTGTTTTCTAACTTATTTGTTCTCAACCTCGTGTATTGTCCGCCGGCTATTGCCAAAAACATATAAAAGGAACAACGTAGCTATACCTTTTATTCTATGTCATATACGGAATACATGTTGTTTTTCTCGAGGCCTTGATCATTTGAGATTTTTACGTTTGTTCGTACAGTTGTGCTCATAAGTATTTCATATCACTGTCGGCCAGACCTATTGTATTTCACAGACGTATTGTTTGGTGCTAAATAAATAAAATTGTATATGGAACGTACCGTTTCTTGTGGCATTTCACCGAAAAGTGTTTATTGTCAAAATATATTGTCCTCTAAACTACTAATCATGTTACAATTTAGATAGCCTTGTTAAAATACGGCAGTATTTGTTTCCATTAAGCAATCATTGAGTAATAGCAATGACCACAACACAGAATTTCATAAACGTATCGGGCCCTTTACTGACAACATGTTTATTTCAATAAAGATAAAGAAATTTCCTACGTAATGGATGTCTGGGCTTCGTTTTATCTCTAATTGGGTTGTATTGCCCGACGAAATACTCGCTTGGTTTTTGGGACTCGTTTCAAATGGTTTGTATTACCAAACATTCAAGACGCTTTGAATAGATGGGCTATTTAGTTATTGATGCTTACGAATATATGAACTACGGTACTTATTTGAAGTATTGTAAGTTCATTGCGTTCCCTCAGGATTTGCAAATACATATTTCAATTTCTTTCCTGTTTTTATTGGTATCCTGTTTGTAGCCGGAGGTCTTGAGCCGTGGTCTTGAATGTTGTGTTTAGTGAGATAAGTTGGTCCTAGCTTTCAAAATGTTTTCTTTTCATCCTAATATTCAGAGCATTATTTAAGTAAGAGTAACGTTATTATCAGCTATATATAGACTTGCAGGATGGTGTGAATGGAACTCCTTGCATAACATTCTCCATGAAAATAGCCGGGACTACTACGTGGTACGTTGGACATAAAGTATTGGCGCAGCGCGTTCACATTATGTGCAGTTGCCAAGTTCTCATTGTGGTTGACATTCTGATTGAGTGGCTCGAGTTACCCTGCTACCACAGTTAACGTGTTGCGTGACACAATTTCTTTAGAAGTTGACCATTCTTCATTCCTTCCGCACCATTTAGAATATAGGAAGATTGCAAAATTACCCCTCAATTGCTGTAATAGAAAAATGATACGTTTAGCATTTTCTTAGTACTTAGCAAGAATTGTTTCTGAAAAATCATTACCAAGATTTGATGAGTTTCCATTACACAGAAATAAAAAGTAAAGAATATAGAAATTATCTGTAAAGTCATATCTGTTTGAGTTATATTTTTGGAGCACTAGCGGCCCGCCCCCGCTTCGCACGGGTCCAACTATCTCGCTAATAAAGGGTCACTTTTTTCCAATCTTCCCCTCTACTTTTCTAATATTTTCTTTGATAAGAACCTTCTCCTGACAATAACAAACACAACAAAAAAAGAATTAGCAAAATTGGTCCAGGCGTTGTTGAATAATGCGCTTACCAACACATTTTCCGATCCATTTTTAAACACCAACGATCTTATATATATATCGATATAAGATTATACACCAACACGTGGTGATTGCACGATAAAAAATTCAACATCGGTATCGTGGTTCATTAGCTATCGGATGCAGGCGCGCGCCTCGATTATGCTAATTTGATTGTCTCTTTGCGACGCGGCGCGACTAGCTTCGCTCGTGTCGGAGGCTAATTTAGTCTCTATTCATCGTTATTTTCTACAAATCAATAAAACAAGGATTACCTTACTAAACTAAGAAATAGTTTGTTTACAACTAAATGCGGCACGGCGATTAAGACTAATCTATTAAGCAGGCTTCCCAAGTTTAACGTATCTTAAAAGTCACTTCGTTCAGGGCAGACTTACAGGCCATGTTTGGTTTACAAAGGATTTAGGATTGTTGACTAGACGGCTTCTTTCTTTAAATATTGTTAATGTTCCTTTTATCCGCGTGTTTTCCGTAAACCGAGCATTAAATATGCTGTTTGTGTTGCGATGCTGAAATGCTTTCAAGTCCAGGCTCGTTCCTGCCACGTTTGCTTCGGGTCCCTGTGGCGTAACCGCGAGCTATGGAGCACCTTTAAACTTGTCCATTGGTGGTCTGACGGTGAAACGGGATCTCGTTAACCCTTTGAGAATTTATCTCTTGTCAGTTTTAAATGCCACATTTCGCATAATATTACAAGCGCTCGAACCTCAACGTTGTTCACAAAGCCTTTGTCATGTCATACCGTCAATATGATCTGGCAACTGGTACATTTCTCGTAAATCTTTAATAAGTACGTACTACCTAGATACGTCTAAGCTGTCCTGTTTCGGTGTATTAAAAGCAATGCCTTAGTAAATACAAGACTGGAGAAAACTACAATTACGTCCTACATAATCTTAATAATTGAGTGGGGGTTGTTTTTCTGGGAGTCATTTTGTTTTATTGTTAGGGTCCGTCATTTGTCACTAGTAAAGTTTACAATTCATTTATTTTTTAATACATTAATACCTATAAGTGTTTAAGAGCCATGCTTCGGCACGAATGGGTCGGCTCGACCGGAATAATACCAGGGTCTCACAGAAAACCGGCGAGAAATAACTACAGCGTTGTATTTCGCCATGTGAGTGAGGTTACCGAAGGCCCGATCCTTCCCCTCCCCCAATCCCTCCCCAATCCTTTAATCTCAAAATCCCTAATCCCCAAAACGTCTGCAACGCACTCGTAACTCCTCTGTTGTTGCGGGTGTCCAAAGGCGGCGCTGATTGCTTACCATCCGCTAATCCGTCTGATCGTTTGCCGACCCATCATATAAAATAAAAAAAGATTGTACACATGTTAAGCAAACGTCGGTTTTCCTAGTCAATCTTAGGGATTAGTAAGAAATCAGCGATACTAAACTATATGATTAAGATTTAGCTTCATACAAATAAATAAACACAGTAACGAAACACTATTCCGTTTATTTTTAAACATTCGTAAAGTTTTCTTCTTAATGCGACATCCGAAACATAAGCTTTGTTGTTTTAATGCTGTGAGTGGTACCGCTTTGATAGTTTTAAGTGATGTTCAGTATTTACAATTTTAAAATATATGAAAGTATCAAACCTTCATATATTTTAAAATTGTACAATAATTGGAGTTGTTGCATTCGGAACTTGTTCAAACTTTGATAACTTAGTGAAAATACTTTCCAATACAGTTACCACTGACAGACAATCTGGAATTAAATTCAAATCTATATTTTTTATAATACATTTATAAAACTTGACACAATACCGTAAATAACGGTACACAATACAAGCATGCCAAGTCTGTTAAAATTCCACCTACGCAAAACTAATCTATGGCTTTTTGTAATTCAAATAAAATTTATCACCTATCTATCATCTTGAAAATTGGCTATACTATTCTTCTGATATATTTTATTAGGTACTTAAAGATGCAATTGCATACAAAATGTAGTAAAACGTACTTAATTTGTGTGTGTGCGTTGTGTGTGTGTGTTATTTAGAATCAGAGTCAAATCAGTTTAACATTCGGGGGACTAATTTATAGAGTTTTTAAATTATATAATGTTTTGTATCGTAGATGAGGCGGCGAGGGGTATTACGCGCGGCAGCGAGGTGAGGCAGCGGGAGCGGCATGGACCATGCGGTGAAGGCGATGTCGGCGCGCGGGCCGCTCTCGCGGCTGGTGGCGCGGCGGCGGTTTGAGTCAGCCGAGCTGGAGGAGCTGTATGCGCGCTATGCATGCAAGCTGCAGCGTACCTCCGTCGGCTCAGCGCTGGCTCTGTGGGCACTGCTCGCCGCCGCACTCGCCGCTGTCGATGCCACCCGTGGTTGGCGCCGGGCAACACAGGTAACATATTCTCTAACTTCAGTGAATATTTTTTTGCTCCAAAGGCATGAATAATATATGCACATTACTTCTACTTATATTAATGGAAATAATGAGTAAGAGTACATCAGAGTGCCATAATACCATGTTTTATTCAGTTTGTGAATTTTCGGTGAACCAAAGACTTGGTTCTTGTACTTACGTAAAAAAACAGCCTCGAACAAAAAACACTGCGAAGGTGGTTCTACATGTACGAGCGAGCTTTAACATATTGTTCAAAGAAAGTACCTAACACGAAGTTATTTACAGACTCGTACAAAGGAAATAGATATCCGTAAAGCCAAATTATATGGTACCAGTGCTTTGTAATATGTAACATCTTATGTTTAGACGTTTTTACTTATCCTAAAACGGTTAAATTTTTGTTTTTTTACTAGGAATGTAATGATAATGTAAAATTTTGTTCAGGTCGCTGTATTGACTGCGCACGCACTACTATGCAGCGGATTAGCATGGTGGTGTGGTCGTGCCGGAGTGGCTCCGGAGAGGCGGCTACCACGAGCTTGCTGGTTGGCACTGGCTGGCGGTGGAGTCGCTTTAGCCGCCACTCTCCCAGCATGGAACACCGGCGCAGCAGCCGAGGGTGCCGCACACGTCGTATGGGCTGTGTTCGCTGCTTATGCCCTGCTACCGGTCGGAGCACCGGTTGCTGCGGCCTTCGGCATCATCCTACCCACAGCGCATACGATCGCGTCAGCACTTGTCGCAAACCGCTTCCCTTATCATGTGTGGCAGCAGGTCAGTAGATTTATTAAAACGCACAAATTCCAAGCTCGTTTCATAGTGCTAATAATATTCCGCAATAAAATGTTTTAGCTTAGCTAAGCACGGACAGTACCTCACCTACTTATCGATTGGAGTTCATTGTGCGACATGAGGTAGCAATAAAACCAGACATTTGTGGTAACTTGGACTAGCTTAGCTCGCAATATGTTAGCAACAGACTTGACCTTGACACACGTCCAAATGTCTATTGGAGTCGTTAAGGTCCCAGAGAGTTCGGAATACCTACTAGTGGTTACGTTTTGTGCCTGCTAGAGATAGGTACACGCTCCGCCCTTATCCCTGCTAGGTATAGCTAAACTTTATTATAGCTGGTCATTATTTTCATATCGAATGGATCATTAAATCTAATGGCAGAAACTACGGTCGCATTATGTGGTCATCATGGTGATAATAGACCCCACTTTCACCCCTTTAATATTTAAGAGACGTTAAAGATAGTAAAGTCTATATTTAGGAAGTTTAAAGACGATTTATTTTTATTATTTATTGCCAAAAAAAAGCCAACTACATTTTGCGTAAGTTGTTGCCAAAAATCGAAACAGGCTGTCGAAAGAAATTCGAGCTAATGTATTTGGTCAATGATTGATTACGTAAAACGAAACACACAGTAATGTTTTGGAAAGAAAGTATTATATTTGTGTCGTATAGATATCCGATTAAGAAACAAGGACGTGAAATCGAAAACCTTACCTTCAACTTTGTAAGGTATTTGCAAAAGCACGTTACGGATCCTCAAAGTAACTTAAAGTTGAATTTAGTTACCATGTAAAGTCGTTGCCTTATAAATTAGATTAAAATAACTGCACGATTTCTCTAAGTAGTTTCAAGCCGTGGAGGCCGTAGCCTTGCCCTCTTGGCGCCCACCGTGGGGCTCGCTTATTATACCTCACTCCACCATAATAAGGGTTGCTGCGCTCGCGTGCGAAGCTTACGTCATCTTTGCCGTCCAAACAAACTTGGCATATCCCTCAATCTTTCCTTAAATGTACAACAACAATACATGTCTTAAACGTGAATATGTAAATCAGATCTATTAGATAACACTGAGCTATGCTAGTACCTACATTGTGAGGTGACTCTAACTCGACTCTCAAGATAAATCCGACACGAATGTTATGAGCCGGAACGAATTCTAAATTAGAAAGACGGCATTTAGAGATTTTATTCTTTGGATTGTTAATAAAAACGCAATAAAACGTTGCGTTTATTGTTCATCTATTTGCGAAGTTTGATGTGTTTTAACATAATAATATCTTGTATTTATTTACATAGTTTCATGTAGCCATATCGTTAAAAACACATCAGAAACAGTCGTGGCTCGAAATAAAGCGTGTCGTTTGTGTTAGTGCAAGCGATAAAGCGAGCCGTAGAACTTTCTGGCAATAATATTTTCTTAAGCAAGGTGAAGTCTTAGTTTTACGAGTGGTAGAATAAACAAATGGTGTTTGATGTGTTACCTGTTACCTCGCAGTTTGTGTCAGCCTAACAACTTACTCGGCTACTTCACACACAAATCACGTACACGAGATACCTAAACTAGAATGTAGATCAATATCTTTTATATTTTATTACAATATTTGTATTGTCGCGGGAATTGAACTTTGAGAACCTTTCCCGTCAAGGTTACGTCGGGTTCTGCCAAATACTGTTCCTATTTGACGTATAACAAAACACAATATCATTATTTTTTCCCAGAAATAGGCAGGCTACACTGTAAACACTTTTCCCAATGTTTGCGTTAGTTTCATGTGACGGAGAATGAGCCCTCGTGTCAATCAAAATGTTTATATACGTTGTTCTCTGAGAATTTACTAAAACGAAAGCAATACTTGGTCCAAACTATTCTAAACAGACAGTATCAAATTAATATCAGTAACACCAGTTTGAATACATTCAAAAGGGAACTTAAACATTTTTTCAACGACCGGCAAAGACATTGAAAAATCTTTGAAGGGCTGTCGCATCGAATGACTTTACACATTAATAGACTCACTTATAAATATTGACAAAGGCTACGTCTATCATATTGAACGCATAAAAGCTTTTTGTTTGAAATTAATCAAACGACGTTCTCTAAACTGGGCGCCATTTAAATCGGAATAGATTTCTGATATACATTATGACATATTGGACAATAGTTTGACGGATGAGGAAACCTTTATACATTTATAGAATGCAATGTTCTTATTTCGGAAGAAGTAATAGTTTTGTTGGGTCTATTGCAATGATATTATAAGTAAAAAGGTAAAAGATAGGTTACATAAACAAAATTCGATTTTCAAAAACGACACAAAGTGGGATGGCATGATTATACTCGCGAGTGAAAAAGAGACAAATATGAAAAATGTAATGTATCACTTGCTGACCGCTTGTAACCTATCTACACCTTTTTACTTATAATTATTATTGGTCTATTGACATTTAAGTTATAATGGTTGTCTTTATAATATTAGGTATTTTTAGAAAAGTTTTTGTTTCATAATTATCATAAGTACGACTACTCTACGACTACTACTTATTATTGAGTCTTCTACGAACTTGTCATTATTCAGATATGATATCACGAATATTCAAAATAGGCCTTTAATAATGTCCCAGCACGATCAACACGACCGCCAATCACTAACGTAACAGTAAGACAGTAACATATTATTTGACAGATAGCACTGTAATTTACTGCGTCGTAACTATATTCGTAACATCTGGTTTCTATAAATCAATCGGCCAATTTGTAGCTTGAATTTGGTGAGATTTGTTATGGTTCAGTGATTATTATTATCTACATCCTGTTTAATAAATGTTCCTGAACACTATTACAGTGAATTATTCGTGTTTAAGTGCCAAAAGGGTCGGTTAACTCGAAAACTTTTCTTTACTGCGTGTTAACGATAGCAAAAATGTAAAGGTGTGTTGTACTTTTATGGAACTTCGGAAAATCCAATCTACATTTTATGTTTTTCTTTTCTGTCAGAAATTTCTAGGCTTTTTTTTATAAATAACTTATAATTACTTAATTTAGTATCTTGTTAGATCAGACTTATTAGATTAAGTATTGTGAATATAATTGTGTGTTACTAAATAATAGAATTGCAAATATATATAACATCTGTTATTTTCAGTAGCAGATCATTCTATATGTGCAGAATTTATAGAAAGGCACTTTAGAGTCGTGAGAATATTTCTATACGAGAAATATTAAGTCTTCAGGATTAGACAGTCATCTGGCTAGCCAAAGCTAAATTGACCTCTGAGGTGAAGGTCGTAGAGGGCAGGATTGCAATTGCTCTCACCCATATGAATTTTTAAAACAGACAATAAACTTAGGCAAATAATTACCAATTAACTACTTCTAATCTCTTACAATAAAAATGCAATTAAGTACACTTAAACTACTCTAATAATGAAACTCTAAACATAATCCTTTATTGTCAGTCTTAATAGCTTTTATTTGTTTAGTCTAGTCTTTGCAAAAAGTTTATTTATTTCACTTAAAATGTCTGGTCGTTCATCCCGATATTATAAACAGATGCGGCAATTTGATTTGCACTTTACAATTTCAATTGACCAATCAATCGATCATTATTGAACATCGTATTTAACATCTGTTATGTGTATCATTCAATATATATTTACCGAATTACTTGTATAAGTGAATGGACCGGCAATAAACATGATTGATGTGGTGAATTGTAACCAATATTCAAGCTTGACCTTTGTAGGCCTTCATGACCAACTAGAATTTAAATAACTCTGTTTATTTACGGATTGATGGAGAGCTTTGTCTGCTACTCAAGCAGTACTCACGGTGGATAGATTACGCTGAGTGCTCATTACTCATTGCGAGGTTTCCGCACTGAATAGATCCTCTATCACTCGGACTAATGGTCGCCGGAATGGAAAATTATGAGAATAGTATCACAAGTCGAGTCTATGCTAATTCTAAGACTATTTTTCACTTTGAAGGCTCAAGGATGATGCTTGAATTGATTTCCATCATCTTCGGTGATATATCAAGTTAACATACTACAAGTTCGAGAGATATTTTTGCTGTCATAACATCGTAAAATAAATCTCATTGAACTCCCTGACTCACCTTTTATTGTTTGATAAAAGTTCTTTATTATGTTCAAAGAAATCAGTCAATTACATAACACAAAAGTAACATGGCAACGTAGTGTATTAGCATAAATGAATATATTTAGTCACACGTGATATTCACTCGCGGAGTTCATATAGCACTCGTCGAACAAAAACGGTCCGTTACTTTATGGTTATGACTAGTCTACATTTTTGCGTGAATTCTCAATTCGAATTATTAAAAAGATATCATGATATTCGCTACCCACGTTTTATTTTTGTTTGTGTATAAAATACTTATGTTCATTGGGCAGTCGAGGTCGGCCCGTGTCACCGCTTAGCCTCAAGGGGAAGCCGAAACACATTTGTGGAACATGTCTCCACCGGTGCGAGTTCACCGCGCATTTCCATGATAATGATGTATTATACAGCAATGTGCGTGAAATTTATTCACATTTGCTCGTTACTCACACGCCGTGGCAGGTCACGCTGATGTCACTTCATTCAACACGTTCAATAACTAATTATTTTGATTTGTCTTTATTAAATTGTTAAATCTCATCTCTAGAAAAAAATACGTAGATCAAAACCAGTATAGAGGCACTTTTTCGTTTTTATGCGAGTTGCCTACGTCATGCACGCTGAATTGGTATTCAAATGTTTTCAACAAACTGAAAAATGTATGTGTTACGAACGTGTGCAACTGAAACGGGTTGCGAACGAATAATACACGATGCAAATTCATATAATTCAATCGATTGATAGGTTTTACGTCGACAGAATGTCATGCATTGTGCGATATATGATTCTGTCGTCAGTGCTGATGTTAATCGCCAGTTATTTTTAAACGTTTCACAGGTGCTGGTTGGAATGTCAAAAGATTAATGTTACGGTTAGTAACTTTGACTAATCAAGCGATTCAAGTAGAAGTCATACTTTCAACATAATCCTTCACCTGTTCTATTATCATTAAGTACATCAGAAAGTGATTGGCGCCACCATCGCCGTGTCCAGTGTTCGCGGCATGCTAATAAACACGTCTTGTCTCGCGGCTCGATCGCGGCCATTTACAATTTCACGTAATGTAGTCGGACAGGTGAGCTTTCTTGTCAAACTGACTAGTCTTGTGAAACGATCATGTACACGTTTGATATACCCGTATCTAGCGGGAGGAACTGTTTCTACATTAGGTACCTTTGACGTTTGATTCAGAGTGCCGCAGTTACAAGTAAAATTGCTCTCACGGATAACTTTTACTATTTTAAATAGAGATAAGGTGAATTACAAAACTTGGTCGGTTGTTACTTTTGATTAAAACAACCAAAAAACCTAAAACAATGCTTATTAAAACTTTACTTGAGAAGTCAAATAATATTTCCATATACCTAACTGCGAATAGCTTTAAACAGATTTTGACGTTAACTGAAATTACTATTCACGCTTCAATTATAAGTGGATCTCGCTATTGTTACATCCGAACCAAAACGTAGGTCAATTTCAAAATTGTACATTAAAATTTAAATGTAAATTTACTTTTACATTAACTATATCCTTCTTGAATTTAATATCTCTGAAATGGCGTGGTTGCGCGACGTGCGTTTTGAGCTATTCGTCTCATTTTGAATTACTATGAAATGTACGGAAGATGGTTGACATTGAATATTTTAGTAATTGGAAGATGAGTCAAGCTGTGTGGGGGCGCGTGAGGCGGAGCAGGCGGCGACAGGTTCTATTTGCATTTCTCTGGGTAGAAGGTCCATGGCTCACTGCCTATCTAAAAAGCGCTATAAATATGTTACACGCCATGGCTGGGCCACACAGATCACTGGCTCAATAAAGTTATAATAGGTGTGTCGTGATTCCTATTACGGCCATAAACTCGCAATAAGTTTTGCCTTCTACAGCGTGAAACGGTTAACTCATTACATACATGAACGTACATAGTCTTAAATATTTACTATCGATAATTAAAACCGCGTAGCTAAGACGCTTAGTGGCTGCGTTACTAATTATGTCGTTCACTAAGATCGGACGGGTTAAGAGCTTAAAAGAAATCTGTACTTGGGGTCGGTCTTAAATCTCGACGGGAGCGACTAATCTCTACGTCATCAACTTGGAGTTTTTATTACTCTGGTAATGTTGGATTATTTTATTAAATCGTAATAACTTAGGATATTACAAAATACTTTTTCCCTTTTAACTCCCCCTGGCAGGACCCGTAACAACCTAATTATATTAATGAGCTTCCTGAAGTGTTTCGTGCTTATAATAGTAATATTTTTCTTCTGTGTGTTATGTAAATGTACACTTTTCCCAGTGGCAACCGTCGAGCGCTGTGTTACTACGCCAGTGTACCGGCCATGTTTAATTGAATTTCTGTTTTGAATGTGTTTGCATTTTGCTTCAGGTGTGTTTATAGTTCTTTTTTAATTTTTTAAACCTTTTGTAATTACTAGAACTGACTACAGTATAAAAATTTAATTTTAAATCGGTTTTCCACCGTAATATAAATTGGATCTAATTCCGGAATGAGAACCGTGCATAAAACATTAAAATCATCCACGGGCTACGTGACGGACACAAAAGGAAGCTTCTAGATTAAAATTGAAGCTTAATATTGCCGTAATAGGACCGTCGTTGAAGATTTACATTAGGTCCGTCTGGGGCAATTTCGTTGCATAACACAGGTTATATTGACGGATTTACTTAATAAAGTGTAAAGTATACACGGCTGGTCCGTTCGCAATCCATTTTGACAGGCAATTTTCAGCCAACATTGATTGATGGTGCTCTATTTATTGAGTTATTCCTTCCGACTACCTGCTGCGAATATTTGTTATAAATTGCTTTCCATTTGTCGCCATGTTATTCTGATTGTACCGGTGATTAACATTGTTTGTTTATAGAAAGTTTATTTGAAAAGCCAAAAAACCTTAAAAAGATACGATGGACAAAACAAAGATGTATTTACGGCTCACCTACAGTGAAATAATGATATAAAACTGTTTATTAAATCCTAGAATTCGTAATCCTGACTCTGAAACTACATTGTTACTTTACAAAGGGAGTCGTCAAATCTAATTACCTAAATACCTACGTGAGCGTGATCCGATAGGCGTCCAAACTATTCAAATTGAATTGTACTAAGCTATGACCTACTCGAATGCTAAGTGGCCCGAAAGCAGCCGAAGGAATTCAATGAGTTCCCTCACTTGACGAAATATTTCAATCTATTTCAAATCTATTGGATGGTTCCGTCACGTCCTCTCTAGATGTACAGAGTCCTATTTACACATTCGATACATAACCGACCCTTTTTATTTTCTTTTTTCTCACTTTTATAAAAAGAATATTGTTTTGGTAGGTTCTCGAAGTTGCCAGTTACGTTCGATAAAAAAGTTTTCATGAGTTTCGTAGGTGGGGCAGTTGCTTTTATAACATTCATACAAATAAATGTTTATTGTACAAATATACTGTGCTTCAAATTCCGTTTGAAAAACGAAATTGTTTGGTTTGATAAAATAATTCAAGCTAAAAAGAGTTAAAACGCGACCTCCCGGAAGGAATTAGGAAGACCTAAATACGCGAGGACGGATTTATATGCATACGAAATGTTTTTAAAATATAAGCTGATAAATCTATGCGTGATAATTATGTTTTGACTGCTACATTAGATGTTTTTAGCACGAAAGATGGAACAGTTGCCTGAAAAAACTGGAGATGTTTTTATTTAGAAGATTCGAAAACTATCGTCTTAAAGAGACTACCTACAAGGATTCGAAATACTCTAAATTTTGACAGAATTTAGAATTCTAGCCAATGATTTGAATAATTCTATCACAAAAGCGAAAGAAAGTAATAACAGTATCTTACATATTCTTGCGTAATAGCTCTAATAAGTGCCTATAATAGATGTGTTTATTGTTAACAGATGGTGGGCAACGTGGTTGTGTTCGTGTGTGTGAACGTGGTGGGCGCTTTGATGCACTCGCTGATGGAGACGGCACAGCGGCGCGCCTTCCTCGACACCAGAAACTGCATCGCTGCCAGGCTCGATATGGAAGACGAGAATGAGAAACTGGTAAATTATCTACTTTTTAGAGGAATTAAATACGTTGTCTTCTATCAAACTGCACGGAAGCGCGGTGCCTGGGCAACTGGATGTCGCGGTATCGATTCCTGCACGGAACAACCCTGTGTGATCTACAAACTGTTATTCAGGGTCTGGGTGTGTTATGTGTATGTGAAATTGTATGTTTGTAACCCACGACACAGGAAAAAATCCTAGTGTGGGGTAACCCTTAAAAAACTACTGATTTAAGTTTATAAGTAAAAATTCTCCACTGATTTTTGTATTGAAAAAAGTTATTTTGATTCAAAAACTTCGCTAAGATAGTGATGCAGGTTATAAGTAGTTCTGAATCCTTGGCTAATCTACAGACAAACTTGTTTTCGCTGCCTTCTCATAACTCACGTAAAGAGCAGCCATAAGATGAATTTTCATATGCTTATTACTAAATTAAAACTACGAGACCCTCCCATTTCATTACCATAGTTATCTCAAGGGCGGATTTTTCAAAAGCCTTTGTCATGCCCAAGTTTTGATGAACAGGAACGAATGAATGAACCCTTATATAGTTTGAAGAAAAGTTTCGCAATCTAGATCCCAAGCCTTTGCAAATGAAATTACTTGACGAAAGACTCCACACATATGTCTTGTACTTAGTCAGAAGTTGCCAAAATGTCTCATTAGCCTTTTCAAATTTTAGGTTATATTATAACCTAACTTTGTTTCTTGGTATAAAGTTTCACAGTTAAAGAGAATGATAATGCGAGAAAATATTTATAGAGTCTCGCATTTTTATCTAGATATCCAATTAATGTTTGATCTTGATTTATTTATTAGTGGCTTACATACTTGGTCGGTAATACCCTTTTAGAGATTTTAACTACGTGTTAGGTCTGGGTTTGGTTTATGGAGATCTAAAATTGTACAAATATATTTCAAGACCGATTTGTGTTTTTTATTATTCTCCTTTACCTAGCTTTTTCGCGCGGCTTCGCTTCTGTCACTACTAGACTACCCTACCTAGTTACTTATCTAAACTACCTACCTACACTATCTACCCTACATTACCTACCCTATGTTACGTGCCTACTCTATCGTATCCTATATTCTTCTTCTGGTTGTAAATTACATCTCCACCACAAGTTAACGAAATCAGTTCAGTGGTTCTTGAGTTAGAAATAGTAAATAACACTTTCTTTTTCAAAGTACGATATATGATACAATCATAATAAAAATATTCCTTAACACGTCTCTAGCGGCGGTAAAGTCAGAGCTACAATTCCTCTAAACGAACAAATCAAAGAGCTGAAATCCCATTTACGATTATTCCCTTCATTCTGTAATCCATATTTAATGCTTCTATGAAAAACTTATCAACGTTTGTGACCAAACAGCTTATCACCAATAAATACCATTGACTTTTTTACTCGGAATGTAATTCGCAGAAAACCAATTTTTGGGAATGTATTTCTGCAATACTCTCCCGATTGGTGTTTGATATAAATGTGATAAATAGCGGTGGTTTATTCAACCGAAATTGTTCTTTCTCCGGTCCTTCGCGAAAATCTTCCGCCTGGGACCTTTTACGTAAGACTTAAAATGACGCTAACGTTATTATGCCCGATAAAAACCGCTTTCCTAAATGTTTGGTGTTATATTCCTTGTTTCTGTTTGGCTTTAGTGAACCATGCTTAATGGGTTATGTCAATTGAGCGATACATATAACGAGATAAATTAACCATCTTTCCTTTTTTCATTAGTAAATGTCAAGATTTTGAGTGAACTAAGGGTAGCCTTTAAGAAAAACGATACCAGTGTGTATAGCTCATATACTTGCTGACATTTCAAAAAGGTTTTAACTAGTGCCATAACAAGTCTGACTCACGGAAAATATCCTTATGTCATAGCCACATAAAACTCATCGGATGTGATTAATTGAAACCGCAAATAATGGCCTGCAATTGACCGTAATATACGAATAGCAGTAAATGTATTATGACATCACAATACGGCATATATTACAAAGACTAAAGAGATATATTATTGAATTATTATTTGTTGAAAACATAAACAAAAGAGGGGAGACTTTTTTCATTAGTCGACATTAACAGTTGATAATAATGATTATGAAAATTTTGATGAACTTAAAAGGTACATATTGTAAAAAAACGGGAGAATATTTATGAAATCATTTCACAAGAAATACATTTTTTTGGTTGGCTAGATGCTGGAAAATGTGAAAGAATTATGATGTAATAATAGTTAGGGTACATCACTCATGCAACGTACCGTAACTTGGACTATTTTTATGTATGTACTAACATATACGTTAGTACATACATAAAAATAGTGTTTTTACATTTACTGACACATGAGTAGGTATGATCGAGAAAGTGTAAAAACTTCTATTTGAACCTCGGACTTCAATGTGTTCATTGAGCGTATAACGATGTTCAGTGAACACATCGCAAACATGTTATAATTTGTATGATATGTTATTTTATGGTACGAGTAACTCGCGTACATTTTTTTTGGTTCGTTTAATAATGTGAGGTGTCCTGGTTCAGTCATCTGTTATTTAGAAAGTAAAATATCTAGACCAAGTCAATTCGAATTTTCCTTATCCTAAATCCCAAGAATTCGAATTCCGTGCTATCTTTGTAAATAGGTAAAAAAATATTTACATTTATTCCGAATAACAAGGTACGCTAATTTGTAAAAGGAAGCAAATCTCAGTCTGTGTATTTTTTAAACCGCCAACAGACATTTAACATTTTTATTTATGCGTCTGGCAACGTTGGATTAACGGCTGCATATTACCAACTGAATAAAACCAAGATACATCTTAGGGCAAGTCTATCACAAAGCCAGTTGAGTGTATAATACCATTATGTTGCAAACATGGAAATAATATTATTATGTTAATGTTGTTGTTGTGTTTAAGTCAAACATAAATCCAGCTCACAATATTGATTTTATTCATGTGTTTAATCGAGTATTGAAGAAGTTGTTTATTGCCAATATTGTCGTGTTAAAATAAATTGCTCATATTAGTATCTTCATTTATAAGGACAAGTCTGTGCATATCAATTTGAAAGTATTTACAGACTAAACTGAAGATACTTTAAAACTGAAATTCTATTAGAGATTTTGAAAGTGTTCTATTAGCGATGTCTATACTAAGAACATTTTAACTAAAACAAATTACTGGCAGGCACACATACTTACTGTGCAAACTTCGTTACCTATATGCATTTAAATTCCCTTACACAAATGTTCAATTCTATTGCATATTCGTTATTAGGTATTTTACATAATATGCACATGTCAAGAAGATTTTTTTTTAACAGTATTTGGATATAATGTTTAAATTATCATGGTCTTTTATCTACTCCGTCATTAGGTATTCTGATTTTGGTTCGACACGTAAACAGAATATTTTGATTTTGCTTTTAAATATCTAATCTTTCCGGGAAATCTATGCAGTTACTGGTATATGTTTGTTCCCCGTCAACGACTGAAGTTTTAGGAACCAATTAGCGATGCGTTATTGAATTTAATTGCATAACTTTTAACTTTTCGGTACCGACAGAAAGATAAAAAGCCCAATCACCTCCTCTCCGGACCACCACAGACGGGGCCCTATAGGCCTGATGTTCAGCCGGGGTTGCGGGGTAAGCGCAATGAGGCACCGCGACCTCGGCCCAGAGCAGGAGAAGGAACAGGGGGTTTTTAGTCAGTAAGAGTCTGACACTCCCTCCAGCCCGGCCCTGGGCGGGAGAAGTCATTTGATGATTTTTGCCCTCACAAAAAAAAACCTCCCCGGAGGATATTATAATATTCCAGTTCTTCGTGCTTTATCGCCATAAAAACATTTTCGACACAATTTTATGTTTTCTATTTATAATATTAAAGTATTTATTGTTGTCTGCAGACTTTAAATATCTGGTTTTATGAGGTTACTGGACTCATTTGTTACACGATCTATTGCCAAACTTCCAAATGTCCACAAATTCATAATTATGATTAGATTTAGCACAAAAAATAATGTTATTTATGCGTTTATTGCTTTTTTTCGTAGGAACGATTGCTGTTGTCTGTGCTCCCTCAACACGTGGCAATGGAAATGAAAAACGATATCATCTCGCCGGTCGAAGGCCAGTTCCATAAGATCTACATCCAGAAGCACGAACAAGTCAGGTGAGACCAACTTAGATAAGTCACTTCTCGTAATACTTGTGCCATATACAGTAATATGCGGCTAAAACTAATTAGGTTGTGAACTCGCCAATTTAGTGGCAGTTTCTCATCTTGAACGCGACACGACTTTGGCCTACCTCCAAATTGATCTCGAAACGACTCTCTCTGATTCAATACACCTATGGTACCCAGGTCGTATCGATGTATAATTAAAGCCCTGACGTCAATCAGCGAGAGTACTAAAAAGTACATACTAACATTTTCAACGTACAAGTACTACACCAATATTTCAATGTCATTTTCACGAATTTCCCGGAAAGTTAAGATCGAAATAGCGTATTTCGGCGTGTCCAAAATTATGCAAATTTATAATCGGAAAACAAAGGCATTGAGGCTGTTTTTGGCAGCACTCGTCTATCGAGAAAATCTTAACGTTAAAACTAAGGATGCTCATGATTAGGAAAGCGGTCCTCTCCACAAGTAAATTAGGAAGGTCAAGCGCTTTGTCGAACAAAAGGAAGTAATGACGCACCCTTATCACTTCTTTCCAGGAATTGTGTGAATACAGACATATGTAGTATGTAGCCAACATGATGTAGGTTATAGAGTGATGTACTTGAAAAGTAGGCGCAGCTGGCGGTATATTGAACTCCTCGATAACAGATTATTATAATATACTAGCGCTTTTATGAGATGAAGGTCGATATAAATGGGAAAAAGAAGACTCGATGCTTTGAAGTGATAATATAATCGAGCGAGGGAAAAGGGGGATAGTACTAATAAAACAGTAATATTCCAATCTTAAAGAACAATTAAATCTCTTGCTCATTGTAGTGGAAATTAATTCTAATTCTGATGAGTTAAACACTTTGATTAAAGACGATTCAGAAATATACAGGGAATCACTTTGATATCACTAGACGTTTAAGTTCAAAGAAAATCGGAAATGTAAAAATAAACCGAGTAATACCTACCTAATCGATTTGCAGACGAATCGAATCCACGATAAGTTCTCGTTCAAGTAGCGGGCAAAGCGAGTTCAATAATTTAAAGTTGAGATTAATTTAAACCTGAATTGGTCGGTTCTCGGTCTAGATTGATTAAATATTTATAAAATTTACTTTCAATGCTTTATACTACGGTGTGAAATGTGGCCGTTAATTCTTTGATTTATTCCGACGTTTTAGGGTGAGTCGGGTCGCGGACTTTATTTATTCACTTGTATTTACATGATTTAAGTACTTGGTTCTCCGACATCGGGGGAACGAAAAAATCATTTGAAAATTGTTTTATTTTTATTTTAGAACGATTTTGATTTTGCATGACAAATTTTCTTGCCTCGTAATTGTGGATTATAATGTGTCGATACACGCGAATTCTTAGACAACTATAACTGACATTGTTGAATTTGTTTATCGTTTTAACCTTACTTGTTTCTTTTTAATAAAATGTTATTGAATTGTTTTGCATAAACTTAGCCACACAAGACTACAATAGACAGTAAAACTTGCATTTATTACACAAACTAACGAATATTTAATACACAATTAATTCTTCACATAATTCCTTAGTAGTAAGTTAATTACTTCCACATTTTTTGGTATAAACATTTTTGTATCTGTTTGAGTTCCCATCAACGTGGACATAGGTAATCGTTAACTACTCTCATTATCGTAGCTTGGCACGCTAAGCGGTCTACGCATTACGATTACTGGCTTATCACGTACTAATTACTTACCGTGCCTTTGTTAATTAGCTTCAAATATGTAGGGTTGAATGTTTTTAGAGAGCTTTTTAAGGTATAAGGCAGTGAATGAGCAGTCGGATCACCAGATTGCTAGCAATCGGTACCGTCTATAAGTGCGTTACAGACTTTTTGGTGGTTGTTAGAGTTTTGAGGATTGGGGAGGGTGAGAGGGGGGGGGGGGACTGGTCCTCTGGTAACCCTCCCACACGACAAAACACGATTGTTCCCAAATTTTTTCTATCCTTTTATTTTCCATTTTGCGTGCTCATTAAAATCGCGAGCTGAATTTTAGTTATTTAGTTCGTGCGAAATATAATTCGTAGAAAGATATCAAAATTGGACTAGAAAAATAGAAAATAACCATGATAGAACAGCTGGCAATCATGTGACAATATATAGGTTACAAAAATAATTTGCAATAAAACTTTTCAAAGTGAAATAATGAGACCGGATTCTTATAATAATCGTAATAAATTTTTGCTTGCTTCCAGCCTTGACAAATGGCCTAATAAAAATATTTACGTTTACATAACATTATTTTGATAAAAGGCTTTTCAAGTTTTTGCGCCATTTTTCATTCGAAAACGGGTCCTGTCGCCAACAGGAATTAGTAATATAGGATAAGAGAAAATGTTTGAAGTATGATATAATAAAACATAATAATATGGTATTACGCTTGTGGCATTTTTCAGAAAAGAAAGAAGAGATTTAGGTTTATTTTGTATTTCATATTATGTAGTTCAAATTTATTCAGTGCAGTAAATTGTTTTATTAGACTCTAAACCTGAACACTATTAAAATAAGAGATGTATTTTCCAAACATTAAACAGACATGACTTTCTCATTTACTCTTTAAACGCCATTGTACGTAAAGCCCAAGAATGATCGTGAGAACTAACTAATAAGATTTCATTGAATATAATATTAATTAAAAAGTAGATTGTTCTCACATCTCTTAGAAGACAAGACGATTCTGTCCTCGATGTAGCGTTTAGAATCACTTACAATTAAATTATCTTAACTTGGCACAAACATTAATATGTAGAGGTACTCAGTTCGTACGTTCAATTTTGGCGAATTAAGTCTATATTACGTAACTCACATCATGAATGTAGACTCCATTGATTTTCTAAGAGCTAAATAAATATTTATTAGACTGAGTAAATGTAACGAAAATGATTTCTTTGGCAAGGATACAAAAAGTAACAGTTCGAATTAAGAAGAAAGTTACTTTACTTAAGCGTTGGTTGGGATTTGAGTATTTGAGCTTCAGAATTACGATCGGGATACCGATAACGCTTGTAATAACAATACGCGTGCACTGTTTTATCGTTACAATCTAATTGTTTAAACGCTATATACATTTCGCAGTTCTCTGAGAGAATGCTACAAAATTAATTACGGAATAAGTTTTACGACGTAAAACATATTTTAGAGCTACAATGTTTTATAGTTCTAAGTCATGGTCGTATTATTGGGTAGTTTCCTGGGTCCAAAATAAATTAATACGACGTTTTAATACAATAAAATATTGAAGAATAACCATACTTTTATGTATCGATCTGTCGATATACTGAATATTCAATATTTTTAATATAAATAACTAAGCTATTTGACGCTAAAATACTATGAAATCAACGTAATTTGGAGTTTCATACAAATTTTGTGAGTTTGACTTGTTGGAAACTACCGTATTATCTTGTAGAATAGCATCTGATTTGTGAACTGAACATCTCAAAATCTGCACTGGAACTTCTGTCGTGTTCTATCGTGATATTCTTATTGTTTTAGTATCATTATACTTGTACAGAAATAGTAATGTGATTAATACTGAGTAGTAACAAAGACCCGTTAATTCAGCTCTTGCATTTAATATGAATGGAATCAGCACTTTAGATTCTCTTAGCATTGACGTCACGCCGAATTTACATTTAACAGGTACTTGTCCAAATGAATTATGTATTCAGTCTCTACCCTTTATAACCTAGTGTTTATTTGGCCGTGAAGTTGTTTCTACAAAGCAAACAGTAATACATCTTGTTTATTAGGTACTCCCAACATTTACTTGTATTTTACCTAGTCCTATCTTTGCTGTTTTCGCCATTTTCTTTTCAGCATACTAGATCCCTTTTGATAGATGAGTTTGACAATCATATGGAGGATCTCTGGTGTCAATCCAGACCTTTAATAGGCTTTTCTTTGACAAATAATTTCATCGAATATTCATAAGGTTTTTACAACGAAAAGATGAACCGAAGACGGCATTTTTGCAGAAAAAGTGTCCAGAATTTCACTCTTTTCTGCCTGAATAGAAAGCTAGCAGACATCATTGTTCGTGCATAATGTTTGTATTGTTTAATTTGTCATACAAATTCTCATATAACATGGATTGTTGTTTTGTCTGTCGGTCTTTGCGTCTCTTGTGTACGCATCACCGTCACCCGACGTTGGTGAATCATTGTGCTCATTTAGCTTCGAGTTGTTTGTTCAAGTTTATTACATTGTGTTTTCAGTCTTATTTCCATAAGGACGAATCATCATGTTCGTTCTGAGATCCGGTCGTCTCGTGGTACAGGTGCTTTTGTATAAAGTGTATTTACATTCGAGTTATTTTAGTAAGAACCCTGATGCTGCTGAATGATGTTTCTCCAAACTGCATTATCTCGGGATTAAGTTTGATTGTTCTTCTTATAGCGTTGTTTTTGTAAACATTGTCTTATCCTTATGTATAATTATGTTCACAAAGAGCGTTTGTATTGTTCTTCAGTCGCTTGTAAGGATAAATCCCTTACTATTGCTTTGGGGTTCCATAATATTATGTATATATAAGATTTGTGAATATGAAAGTTTTTTTTTTTTGTTTTATTCCTGGTGTCACGAAGCTTTTTATGGGATGATTTTAGTGCTCTATTTTTTTCTTTGACCATAAAAGTAAGTGTGTAATAAAAGTAAAGCTGACCACGACAGGAAGCGAGTGCTAAATTACATATATGATTAATACCTATATTTCTTGACGGCATTTTGATTTTCAGTCTTATCCACGGGTAATTAAAATTCATGTTCATTTAAAAAAGATCTATTTTTATAACAATCTATTGAGTTATTCATAAAGTTACCCCAAGATTAAGAAAAACAAAAGTTTTCCAATTCCATTTTACATTTCAGTGCTTTCCCCATAAACATTGCTTCGGTGAAGTTGTGAAACACGATCTTTATCCTTCAACATTCTTTCAGTCGTCTCTTTTATGACGGC